ACCCCCCCCCCCCCCCAATCAGGATCCCAACCGTGAAAGGGCTAATTTACATAATGTCACTGTGAAACAATGAATATTGTCACTGTGAAACAATGAATATTTGATCCATATGTGTCCCACATTGCATTACGTTATATACCTTTTTAGGTCATGTGTATGTTAAAGAGAAGAAAATGCTCACTCAACCACAAGCGCAAGAGTATTTGTTCAGAACTCAATGGAACTTTGCATGATTTCCAAAGCAAAATTGCAAATCATGACGACGACGGTGATGATAGTTATTGGGCAGGCCTTGTGTATATCGAAGAAATAGTGAAATATGGATTTAGTGATGGTTACCTAAGCAAGGGCGTAGTTGATGGTAACCAGAATGGTGGAAAGCTTTGTGTTATGGCAAAAATGGAGGACGATAAAAAATCACCTAAGTTACGTTCTTCAAAATGTTGCAATAAACGTGCATATGTCATTTGCAAGGTTCCAAAAGATGGCGGAATTGCTGGTACTTATTGTTACTTTTTTCTGTACTTCTTATTTTTCTGGATTTTCCCCTCTGACACTGTATAGAGAACAGGAAAGGCTTGGTCCCATTCGGGATTCGACCTCGCAGCTGTGGGTTTCTTGTTTCTCGTGTTTTATACCTATGCTCGGAGCTATATAGCCAACAATTAAGGAGCATCCTCTAGATTTTGACCATCTAGACCAGAATGTTGCGAGGTTTTTTGTAGATGGAAATTTCGAGTATATATTATATACACATGTTTAAACCTAACCGCGAGCATGCATGGAGTTGTGAAAAATGCAATTATATACAGCCTCTGAGAAAGGTATGCTAAAGATCTAGTATGAATTCTTTATTCCTGTGTTCCTTTGATCCTATATAATAACATAGCACTTTCTTTTTTAGGTGGAACAGCTACTACAACCTCTACTGTAACGGGTATGTCTGTCTTCGTTTGGGTTCAATTTAAGTTGTTTTCATTTTTCAGAATGACAGGAAAATTGTACTCCTTCCATAAAACCAACCTTTTTTGAAATTTTGAAAAACATGTGAATTGTGCTTTTCTATAATTTCAAATTGATGTACGAACGTCATATCATTCATCAGTATGCTGTTCAACAAGGATTTTGTATGTAGCTGGTTTTTCCGGAAACAGCCCAAATTCGAATATCGGTTGCGGTCCTTCAGCAACTGATTCGGTGAAATTTTTCACTTTTCTGAGAAAAATATTTGAAAACGTTTTCTGCAAGCCTGTAGCAAATTTTGTGTTACGTGTTTCTTCGCTTTCAACGTGGGTATCACATGCGAAATTCAAAATGGCGGTTCAAAATATGCATGCTACCATGCAAAATCTCAAAGCTAACCATGTTGTCAATTTCAATTCAATATTGAAATCAACTGAATTGAAATCCACTTTTCAATTCAATATCTAACTGCTACTAACTACACAATCTATCTTTCGGATTGTAAACGCAACCTTGATGATTGAAAAATATATGTTTTGGTATTCCTGTTAGAATGAAATAAGAACTGAAAAAATTCGGTCGTCATAGTTAATATAAAGCTAACAAATTTTACAGCCAGCCAGCCAGCAACGCGGTTTGTATTCAGACTATACAGTTTATTGTATTGCCTGAGTTGCAGCCTGGTTTTTAAGGAGGAATTACACCCACGTTGCAGGAAAAGTAGTGCGGCTCCTCATTATGAATTAAGATCTGAATGTCAAACGTTTTACTTAACTTCACAAATAATTGTGATCGGTTTTAATGAATTTTGAACAGATGGCCGTCTTCAGAAATGGTCATTAGTTAATAGAATCTACAAATAAAGTTTTGTATATCGCTATATTATAGGAAGACATTTTGTCTTTTCGCTTGTATAACTTCGAGGTTTAACATTTCAAAATATTTTATTCGAATTTCTGTCTTTCCTAGACTGTTTTAAGATGGATATCGATATGAATCTAATATTGACTGAGAATCGTTTTTCGGGTGATGTTTTAAATTTTTCAGTCCACAGTTGAGCTTGTATAACAGCATCAGTTATAATATAGATTGAAAAGCAGAATTGAAAAATATGTCATTCAATTTGTCATAAAACAGTCGTTTGAGCTGCTGTTGAAACTCGAACATATTTATAAAAAACAGGCCTATAGTAAGTTTCAACTTGATGTTTATGCTAATGCAAGCTTTATTGTTATGATTTTATTTATGTCAAAAGGTTTTTTTTAATTCTTATAACATGTACACAGTACAAATATACTGGCGGTGCCAGAAATTTTTTTGAACTGAATGGCCATCTTATTTCTTGAGAATATTTTTTGTCAATGACTAATACAATGACTTTTCGTCTTTTTACTTGTAATTTCAAGGTGTAGGATTTCAATTTTTCTCGTGTGAATTTCAGTCTTTCTAAGACTTGGTTTCGAAGGGTATATCCACATAATTAAAGATTCAAAACGAATCTTGAACGAATGAAGATAAGTTCTCTCGAATGAAAACTTTCATGAACTTTCATTGATAATAATTATTTCAGCATAAAAAGTGCAAAAGAAGTAGAGTCTTGGTCAGGCTTTGTAGTGAAAGAAGAAAAATTTTCAAGTCCGCAATAGTCCGCATTGTGTCAATACCAATTGTTGGCATGTTTTCCATCCTAGGCGTTAATCATATTTCTCATATTACTTCTGTTTAACGTCTATATTCGTTTGTAAACAGCGCCTTGGCATTATAGCGCCTTATTGACATTAACTTCATAAAGCTCTTGTATCTGCCAAATATTTCCAAGTGCGTTTATCATTTTGTTCGCGTCTTAATCATTGCGCAATTCAGGTATTGTTCCATTTGCGTGATTATTAGTTGACAGCACTTCACACAAAGTCTCGCAGTAGCGCAGGTGAAGAAATGAGAAGAAATTAAAGGAAACTTTCCTGCAGAAAAAATGTTTTTTGGGGGCCTTCTGATCATCGTCAGTTGTGGATTTTGCCTTGAAAGTAATGTTGGTAAGTAAAACAGTTATTCTTACTTATTTTGTACCTCCATTTATAAATTATGATTATATCATGCATAAAGTGGACAAGCTGCTTCTAATGTCCAAATGTTTATGACAATACTGGTATTTGAGCTGTTTGTTCATCTCGATTTCGGTCTTTTTGGGGTGGAACAACCTCGGTTCGGTGTCGATTTCGGTATTAATTTTTAAAATAACTTTAAAATGAACAAGGTACAACAAGTTAAATGAAACAAAAACACCTTAATTTCTTAGGGCCTGTTTACATGGAGGCGAGTTACTCGGCAAGGCGAGTTATCCGTAGGCTAGACAAACAAGCGCTCTGTTTATATGGAACCGAGTCACTTGGCATTTGCTGCATGATTTCCGCATAACGCCGAAATGGCGCCAAAACACAAAAAGGATTTTAGTACTAGTCGTTTGAAACGTTAAAAACATTACAAAATGTCGTTAAAATACAAGAATAAGCGCCAAGAAATTCAGGAAACTTATCTATAATGGTTCGTATGTATTTTCAGCTATTCTATTTCAAATACAAAGCACATACATTCTATCTCGGGCAGCCGAGTTACCCGGGCAAAGTGTTTACATGGAAAATATTCATCCCGCCTAAGCGATATCCCGCCTCTTTCTGCCGGGAACTCGCCGAGGCGAGTTACTTGGCTGCATCGTGTAAACAGTTACCCCGGATAACTATTAATTTCTATAATAGCCGTAGTGGCGGCGCCAGGCCTCAGAATTGTGGGGGGGGGGAACTCATATTTTGGGGGGCAAGATAGAATTTTTAAAAAGGTACTATTTGCCCTTGCCGTTGTCACAGGACTTTCGCGCCCCCCCCCCTCCTTAGGAGATCCGCCCCTCTGAAAAGGGGGGCGATGTTCCTATAGAAATCGCCCCAGGGGGGGGGGCGAATACCCTAGGAATATATCGCTCCCCTTTAGGATATTCGCCCCCCTCCCCATACATGCGATGTGGTTTATTCAAATAATTTCGTGATACTTTCATCTTATTCGTGCGTTACACATTTGAGAATTAACTCTGCAAAACTAAAGCTTTTTTGTCTTTTTTGAAACGTATTATTGGAGTATTGGCAAGTTTTACCATTCAGAGATTTACAAACTAATATTGAAACAGTAAAAAACACTTTCATGTATACGCACATTCACTAAGGAGTAATGACAACTTATAAGCCATACATTTTCCGATAACGACAACACGCTTGTGTAGTGAGGCAAAATGGGGGGGGGGCAGAAAATAATTTGGGGGGGGCAATGACCCCCCTTGGCGCCGCCACTGAATAGCCGGGATCTCGCCGTTGCCGAGTAACTCGCCTTGCCGGGTAACTCGCCTCCAGATAAACAGGCCCTTATAGAATTAGTTCGTCAAAAAAATCCGAGGTCAAAATGTCCTAGTGAGAAGCATTGTGAAACACGCTCGGTGCCGACTTACGGTGCTAAGAAAAGCAGGGCCTTTCAGAGGGGAGGGGCAAAGGGGGCAATTTGCCCCGGGCCCCCAGTAAGGCCTGTTAATATGAGCCCAGTAAGGCCTGTTAACATGGGGCAATTTTTTAGCCCCGGGCCCCCAGTTTAAGGTGGCCCCAAAATTTGCAAAATTAGAAAGAAAATTTTGAGGATTTTTGATATAAATATAAATGGTATGAGACCTAAATTTTACAGATATTGGTCCGAAAAAATTGGTTTCACCCATGTTTTAACAGGAATTTGTCGTGAAAAATTTTTTAGAATTTTAATTTAACTGGTGTTTATCCGGAAAATATTTTTGACCTTTTCAGATAATGCATGGAAAAAATTTTTAAACCCCTCTTACCGCCCCCCGCTCGCCACCTTTTTTGGATTCGGACCAGTTCTTATAAATATATAAAATTGACTTTGTCTTGCATGAGAACGTTTTACTGTACTATTTCGCGCATTAGAAGATCATTCAGATTTATATATCACCGTATAATCAAACACCTTATCAACATTTTTAGCTCCGTTGCTATATAGTCGGCCGGCCAAGATGGCAAAAAGTGCCTCTATAAAGAGAGTTTGATGGCAACTTTATGTTAGAAGCTGGTAACAGGCATTTTCTTATAGTTCAGGCCTTGGTGAATAAGATTGTATGTGTTACCACTTCTGATTTTTGCTTTATAGCCAAAAATTTGAGAATTTTAAAATTTTGCCTATTAAATTACTATGATGGCAAAAAATGTAAAATTTCATGTTCTCTTATACAAAAAATAAACTATACCACTAGAAA